AGAAAAGAACATGCTAATACTTCTAACTTTTGAGATTCTACAAGACAAGATGTAATCTGTGCACTTGAATTACATTTAAATTATTATTATTGCCTTCTCATAAAACGAGTCTCCAAGCTTTGACTGATTTACAGAAATATATTCCTAGAAATCCCACTGTTGGAATACTTTATGCAAAGAACAGAACATCTTCAAGCAGGACTTCAAAATTTTCATCAATGCACAGACAGGTACCAGCAGACAACTTCCTAAAAAAATGGCACACATTTACACTAATGTGAAGATAGAAGTTCTTCTGCGGATGGCTAGAGACTCAATTATTTGAGCAACTAACTTACAGATGAGGACAGAGAAAATGAATTCAGTAAGTCACGAGCTCAATTAGACTCCTCCGTGCGGATGTGGAGGTACAGCAACTGAGCGTATTCTGCGACTCGATGATGCTAACAGATGCCAGTAACAGAAAGCATAGCATGCCCATACAGGAGTTGAAGCTTGAATGAATGAACAGTGGAAAAACAAAAACTGAGGCAGATTAGAAGGGAATAGCCTATTTGTCTCTTGTAATGAAAATATCATACCAACGTTGCTCTTTAGTTACTATAAAATTGCATGGAATAAGACTTTACAGAGGTTCAAGAAGCACAACTCAGAATACAGATAATCTTTCCTCTGTGGCACAGTACTCTCATTTATTATTATCACTATAACTACTTAAAAAACAACTTGTAATTTGAATCAGAAACTACATAGCTAAAAAACTACTGATGTAAAGAAAGATGATGTTAAGTTCCTGCTGTCACCCACAAGCTTCTGTCATATTCATATCAGAAAAAAACACAGCTAGTTTTACCAACTGTGTTTCAACACAGATTTCTAAAAGGCAATCAGTGCATAGCTTTGGAACCTGCAGCCATTCTAAAACATCTCTGGCGAAAGCCACTCAAAAGATCAAAATGATTCAGCACACATCCAACTGCCTGAACAAAGCCCAGTCAATAGCAGCAGGCACTTGAAAGTTGACAGCTTTCACTGAGTATAATCGAAATCCAGTATCTTAGGGATTTAACAGAACCAATGGAGGTATGCAATGCCATAATCTCCCAAGCAAAGAGACACTTAACACGAACTTCATCATCTAAGCCTCTCTAAGGGGCCTTTTGGCAGAAACTAAAGGAGAGTGAAGGAAGAATCAGGCCTCTCCGTCAATTTTTCCAGAATACTAAAAATATTTTAGCTGATATTACTCTGAGCCGTACAGAATCCTATGTTTTCTTGCACTGTTAATTTTAATGTTCTCTGTTTTTATACTTATATTTAGTTTGCAGAAGGAGTAATGACAGACTCTCCCTGCATTTTTAAAATAGAATTTTAAAATAGATTTTTTGCATGTATTACTGCACAGAAACAGATTTATACTGGTTATGCATTATCTTTCTTTAAATACCACAAAACACAATTACACACACAAAGACAACCTAAATAAAAGACAAGCTATCTACATGATTGCTTCCATTACTGCAAAATTACAGCCCAGATGATATCCCAAGCTTTACTGAGCCAGATGGAAAACATTATCATATCAAATGTTATCTATGCATCGGATACACTACACCCACAATGAGATGCATACACAGATCAGAAGCATTTCTACAGAGATCACCAAAGACATGAATATACTGTACTGTGTAAAAGGATACTAGGAGTACATGTGATGCTAAAAGAACAAAGGTTTATGATGCAGAACCCTTATTTGTACAGTTTGATACTGAACCAATGTAGTTATCTGGAATATCAGACATCAGTGTTATACTACTACGAACAGTGACTTCATGATGTTGTTGTCACACTCATAACTAACAGTGTCTTATTGCAATGTTAACATAATGTAAACTCTTATCACAAAAGCAACTGAACTACAGTCTTCACAACACGCTTATGCTCTCCAGTATTTTTCTCTGTCAAAACAAAAAAACAACTGAGGAGTAAGAAAGAACAAATTGAGAAATGTCTCCACTGCTGTAAATGCAGCTCATTCAATTGTTGAGTCCTGAACCTAGAACACACTTCTAACAATAAAGCAGCAGTAAGAGATTGTAAAAACTCTAAACGCAAAGTGAGATACTATTTTAGTACTGTTACTGCAATCATAACCAGCATGCAACTCAACAGCATTGAAACAAACTAAAATACTGAAAATAAACATGACAAAAGGAAAATATTTTGAATGCAGACCGACTGTAAGAAATGGCATGAGTGCTCTGACTTTATCAGCATATCAGTGATAGATGTTTGCACCTAGTAGAAAATATGGCACTGAATTTCTTTGATGCAAAGGTTCAAGAGAGCACATAGACTGTCACTGCAAAACAGCCATCCCTTTTTAGTGAAGTAAGTGTCAGAGCATAATTACCTAAAAATGAATTTGTAGCTTAAATGGCACTGAAAGAAACTTTAGGAAAGATGTTTTACATAAACCTTCAACATATCCGACTTCCCCCTATCCTCAAGGCATTCCAGTAAGCATACTTTAAAAAAAAAAAAATGACAAAACACACTCAAGTAAGACCAAGGCAAACGTAAGATCCACACTATCAGCCCATTTGAAGAAATCATTCATGTTGCTGGGTCAGGATACGAAAAAGTGCTTACAAACCTGAATACATAACAGTGCAATTTGAAAACTAGACAATGGCTTTACATTTTACTCTCAGCATCAGCTCTGTCCAAACCTTCTATGAATCATGGAAGAAAGCGACAGAAGTAGGATGCTTGAGTAGAGGTGAGCTGCCATTCAAACCTGAAGTACCAAGTTGAAATTCTGTTTATGCTGGGATCTAAACTTTCAGGAAAACAATGAAAAATTGGTAGTGTCACAGCCTGTAACACAGTGAGACCTGGAATGAAACGCCTGAAATTCAAGAGCTGTCCCAATAGTTTTGACTGCCTGATTCTCACAGCCTGTCTTGCATAGCATGCATGTGTGTGGGTACGTTAAGGATGTAAAACCTACTGAAATAGTGTTAAAGGAGAGAGATAAATACACAGCATCTCATCCACACTGCTCATAAGCCACAGGACAAACTATTCCAAAGCTACACTTGAGTTTTAAATGACTCAGTTCATTTCTTCACTCAAGAAGACAGCCCAGAAGAAATACACTGTGTGGATACACATACAGGTCTCTTCAAGATATTTTCTATTTTATCAGAACTAAAACCAGACCAGTGATTTATTATTCACATTCCAGACACTGATAGTAACACATGACTTCTAATAAACAACCAAACAGCTCTCTATAATACATTCAATAACAGAAGACACTACTAAAGAGACTGAAATATATTCAGTATTTTAGGTTTCCTGTGGCTCTTCTTTGAGCACATTAATATTCAACATACCCAAGTTAATTTCTTTTTCTAATGACATTTCTGATTTACAAATTAAAGGCCACTGTGCACTTTGATAAGCTAAATTATTTTATTTCTTTGTCCATTTGGACAAGCTGGTAAAACTACTTTTCCTAGAGGGAAATAGCAATATTTTTATTTCACTACTTTTTTTTCTTTCCCAACTGCTCTAAGGAGATCAAGAATTTTATTTATCTCCAGCGTAACTTTTTGATAATCAAAGAAGAGAAACACCCCCAGAGCCCATTGCTTTATGCTTTTTAATTTAAAAGATAGAAACATATTCTGAAGTATAGAAGTGTAAATTTGTAACAGTTCTCTTTGATGCAGAAGACTGGAGGGAAAAATCTTAATACAGAATATCTAATTCTAGTATTGAAGTTTATATCTCAAACCAAATCACAGCACACAATTATATGCAGTCTTCTACAGCAGTAGACCCCAATATCAAATGTGAGTCTCTTTTGTGAGGTATTGCATTACATAATACATACATTATATAACGCTTGTGACAAAAGTTTTGCTATGGAACATGCTGAAGGAGGAGGAATCAGATGAGAAGAAGCAATCAGATGAGAGGAAAGAATGTGCAGTTAAACTAAAATGGATGCATACATGGAAAGCCACTGAATTCAAGTTCTACCAAGAAACCTTCTCTAAGTTGCTGCAACAGAAACATTAAAAAAAAAAAATCATGTGAATAAGCTTATCTTTTGAAAGAAATCCACTTAAAGGCAAAAATATACATCATCCATACATCCATATGTGGATTCATCTCAAAGAAGAGCACAGATTTTTTATTTGAAAAAGAAATCCTGTTCCGCGCCTCATGTCTGGTCATTTCCCCTGCAAATAAAAACTAAAACATTAAATGGAGTCAAAGAGGGAAGGAGACAGATGTAGTCGCTTCCTTTACAAAACAAATAATATCCACCTAAAGAAACCTTTGTTTGGAACATAAACAACTGCAAGTGAGATGTAGCATAGAGACGTTTTCCTATTTGAATTTACACAAAAGCCAAGCTTCCAGTAGTCCAGAATGTTGAATGTCACTCCAGCCACAAGTATACATGGAAAAAATTATAGCCAAAACAAAGCACAAAGAGCCATAAAGAGACCTGGAAAGACTTCCAGTGTAACAGGGTGATTCTATACTGAAAGGCCTGAAGTCAAATTCCAGAAGAGAAGGGCTTCTTGTGCTCTTTCTTCTTCTCTGTAATCCCTGGGTATATACTAGGGTTCACCAGTCCTTTACAGGGAAGGATTTATGAACATCAGAAATTCATTATAAAGAAGTTATTCAGTGGCAATCTAGAAGGTACATGCATGGCTTACAGTTCTCACTTCCTACATCAATTTAAGGTAAAAAAAAAAAAAAAAAAAAAAGTTTCTGATGAAATGATCATGGAAATTACCCATTAAATAACTGTTCTAGAGAATAGTACTCAATAAATTTTTCTGTCTCCCATTTACATACAATATGGCAATTGCTAGACTTACTAGAACATTTCTTAAGTCAAAGTACGTAGCATGGTATATAGATGACATTGTTTTTAAAATTTTAATTTAAATCTTAAAAGGCTCACTTACTGGACGTTTGGATGAAAGTCTGCCAGTCACAGTTCCTGTCTGATTCCATGTAGGGCAAATAAATCCCTGCAGTCAAATAAAATAATATCTCCCATCATCACCCCAAAAGAGGGTGATAACATACATCTAAAAAGGACATATTTCTCTAGTTAATATAAACTTAATTAAAACTCACTGCAATTAGAAATACAAATTTAAAAAGAAATACTTCCTAATTACATATACATTAAAGTTCTTGAACTGCAAGTACTGCAATCATTTCTTAAGTCTGATGTATTTTAAACACCAAGTTTTAGAGTTGTTTTTAATATATATTACCTTTCTCATGCATGTTCTTAGCCCATCCACGTAGGTTGATTTCATCTTACGAACCTGAATTACGTAAGAGCATTAGACAAATGCTTATACATAACAATAAGATTTACACATCAAAAGCCTTAATCTCAAGAGCATGAGTTTGCTTCATAGACTCTTTTAAAAGATAGTTTTACCCTAGGAAAAGTATTTATAGACACACTCACTACTGATCTACTAAAATAAGTTAGTGAAGTGCTAACGTATAGACTAAAGCAGGTCTATGAAGACAACAGCAAAGGTCCTATTGGAATCTTACACCTTATACCTCCCCATCAATGAACCACACAAAAAAGCAGCACAAAAATAGAAGAGTGGATTTTATTTATTTACCTAAATTGAAAACTGATGTACTGAATACCCAAACAAAGTATAAGAGCTAACTAGGTAATTTTGGATTTTCAGGAGGCTCTTGTCACCTTGTTTGTTTAGTTGTTAATAAGTTATATTTTTTGCTAATTTTGCTTGAGTATAACTACATCATGTGTATAGTCAATGAATATAAAGATGTTATAATTATGAAATAAACAAGAGAGTTTGGCAAAGTAGATTATAGTAACAAAAACAGAATAGATAGAAAGCTTACCTGCATCCTGGACTCGCTGCAAAACTCCAGAGGAGGGATCTCTAGAATAGATCCTTCCCCACTGGCAGTCAGCTCTTAAATGGATCTAACAGAGGTGCAGCCAGGCTCCACCCCTTCCGGCAGCACAGGTGAATTGCCTTCACCTGTGCTCCCCTGGCTGACTCATGGCTCGCCTCAGGTGATCAATCAGAGGTTCAGGCTGTGATTCAGCAGTTCCCATAAAGTCATGTAACAGCAACAACTCACCTGCCGGTATTCTAACATAAGCTTAGGCAGAGGATGAAGATCTTGTAACTTACTGAGCTGTAAGATAAAGAATCTGTACTACTGTTATGTTTTTCTGTTAAGTGGTGTTATTTAACTATCTTAACTTCCTCATTTGAACAACGATTAGTATTTGATATTTAACTGTTAAGTAAAATACAGCAGAAGTTCTGCTGGATGAAATACACTTGTCAAGATGAAAGAGGATGAAATATATGCTAAGCTATTATGTCCTTCAAACAATCTCATCACAGGCCCAGAAGGAGCCTTCATTCATCCCTGCCTTCAGCAGGAGGGCTGGAGATTATCCCCTTGCATTTTGTTTCCCTTCCCACTTCAGAGAGACAACAAGTAGACGTGAAACTTTTCCTCAAGAACATAGGAAACAATAAGGCACATGGAGTGAGGGGATTGTTTATGGTCCTTTGTTTCATTTTTGTGCAAGACAGCATCTAAGCAAGAGAGAACATGGAAAAGTACGCAATACGTATTTATACATGCATACATGAATGGGTAATAAACATATATTTAAGTGTGTATTCATATAATCAAAATCTAACAGCAGAGCTTCCATTTGTCCCATTGTACAAGCTCCAGGAGATTTCAAGATTTCTTAGATCATAAATTTACATAAAAATCTGTAAATAAAAAGAATCAAATGAGATTATATATGTAGAAGTACAACAAAAATTTCTGGAACTACACATTCAGGCTAAAAAAAATTATGCAATTCTATTAGAATAAAGATTTTCTACCGTAATTCTTTTCTTACTATCATGCATAGATGATTTATTAACCTGCCTATAGTTATGTAGATTGACATGTAGAGCCAACATGAAGTTCTACAAGGTACTGTGAATTTCAGATCAGGAAACTACAAAGTGTTTCCCTTGTTTCTGACAAATGTGTATTCAATACAAAGTTGTTTTTTCTATCTTAAGCAGCAGAATTCTCCTTCCATTCTTGGTTGCTCTCTGTCATTCCTAGCATAAGTAAATCAAGTGTGATTAACATAACATAAAAATAAATGAAGATTGGAAAGGAAACTAGACAAATTACAGCTTCACTGAGATAGAAGTTTTTTTAAATAATGCAGATTGTTGAATAATCTCATCTCACCACAACTTCTGAGGTGGATGCAACTTGCTGTCTTTCAGTTCTGGGAATTTTTTCACACAGCGTATGCAGTTTTAACTTCTCAAACAGTACCTACATTAAGAAAAAGACTTCAGTGCTTCAAGTGATGAAAAAGAAAAGAAAACGATTAGATTCCTGAACTCCAGTCTACAAAAGAGATTCCAAGTAAAATAGAGTTATGCTGCAGAAAAGAGAAAAATAACAGGAGTAAAAAGATCAGATCTTTACTTTTAACATCTTATTTCTAAAAATAGCGCACTCGCTAAAATAAAGTGCATTATTTAACTTCATTCAAATGCAGATTAGCCAAATGGTCAGATTTATGAATTAACTGAGATGTCTTCCATTATAATCAGAAAATATAATTAGAACATAGAAGAAAGAGAGTCAGAAGTTGTATGAACAAACTTATATGCTTTATAATTCTCCTGCATCATTAACAGTTTACAGAATAGATAGCTTAAGTAATGACAGTAATACGAATATACTTCTCTAAGTTGACTACTGCTGGTCAAAAGGAATCGTTCTCCAGCAATTTGATGGGCTTCCTCTTCGAGTTCTTTGAGTCTCAACTGTAAATTACAGAACATCAGAATTATTCCTTTTACACTACTTTCTTCAATATTCTGTTACTTCCTACGTTATTAGGTATATTGGACTACTTATAAATGAGATACCCCATTACTGGCTATCAGCTGGTTTAATGGATTGCTCGTATACCTTCAATCTACATTTCTTTGTGAACTAGAGAGGGGATTTACTATAGAAAAATATTTGTGGAAAAAAATAAAGATAAAATTTACCCCTAGAATCTCTGATGTTTTTTTCAGTTCTTGTTTGTCCACATGTATTTTGTGAGTTTCCATCACTGCAAATAAAATTAAATACTGAGAACATTTACAATTGCAAGTGTAATCTTGCATGCTACAAAATTGAAATTCTAACTCACGTAGGTACTCATTACAAGGATAACATAATATTTAGTTATTGTAACCTTTATTTCAGTACAATAAACAGCTGCATAAAAATGGTAAAAAGTCATATTTGGGGCTGAACTTTCGTACCTGCCAGAACTTTGATCAGTGGAAGCTCTAATGTGCAAAATAATTTCCACAAACCTTGAACCTGTAAAGTAAGATACAAATCAGCATCAGTATTAGCAAACCTTATTCTAAAAACCATACGATAGTATCATTATGTAGATCAGTTTTTCAGCGAGCAGTATTTCACTTTATGTATCATTTATTTTTATAAAGACAAGGCTGGGTAAAGCATGAAATACTAGTTAGTGTAAATTATAGCATCCAAACACTATATTCAATTATCAAATTGTTTTATAAGGAAAGGTACAGTAATGGAAACTAAGAAATTTGCACACCATTTGTCTACATTATTTTTAGAATAAAGTCCACTGTAAAAGAACATTTCTTCATTCTTTTTTCTTATTCACTTGAGCAACTAAGCAACCACTCAAAATTCAATATTTTATTTTCATTAGAAAGATGTAGAAAGGTGGGACTATGTACCCAATTTAGTTGCAAAGAACAGGATGGTTTTTTTCCTCTCACCACTGCAGCAGTCATACAACAATAGTTCTCTCAGAATTTCTGTAGGCTTGTGGTTGGTGTTGCTGTACCTTAGGTGTTTCTGTTGCCTTCATTCACAGATAGAACAATTGCTGGGCCACTTAAAAAAATCCAGCCTAACAAGGCTCCATCAGCTACTTTTCTCAACCCTTACACTATATTTTAAATCAGTTTCAAGGAAAGCCTCTAGTGTCTCATTATACAGGACAAGTTTAGATGAGAAGTTAGGAAGAAATTCTCTACCATGAGAGTGGTAGGGGTCTGGAAGAGGTTGGTCAGAGAAGCTGCAGATGCCCTATGTCTGGAAACATTCAAGGCCAGGATGCATGGGGCTTTGGGCAGCTTCATCTAGTGGGAGGTGTCCCTGTCATGTCAGGGAGGTTGAAACTAAGTGATCTTTAAGGTCTCTTCCCAACTAAACCATTCTATGAAGCTATGCAACTTTCTCCAGAACCTGAGCATATCCCTAAATTTTGAAACCTTTTCAAATATATAATAACAAGAAAACAAAACAGAACATTAAAAACTCCTAAAAACTCTTGAAATGTGTTCTGAACTTCACCAAGGATTAATACAACATACAGTAGCAGACATGCTAAGTTTTTGTGCTCAACAAAGAATCTCTAAACATGTCTACCGAGATAAATAACGACACTGCTTCAACTCTTAAACAGTTTTTGGATTGTTCATATAGCTTTAAAATATAGAATGAAGCAGCACAACTTTTTGATTTTTTCCTGTTCTTAGGATCTTCACCTAAATATTTAACTCTTGTAGAGGAAACTTCTTCAACATTTGCTTTGAGTAAACATTCCATTCTTCTGAAAACAATGGTAAATTTGATGGACCACTTCATCTTACATGTTGTCTAGTACTATAAATCCGTGAAGTTTGAAACCTTTTATTTTATTTCCATAAGAGATTCTGATTTGAGTGAGAAGCACACCACTTTGTGATAACACCTCAGAAATTATTGCTGAGTAACTACTTATCAACTCTTACCTGTAAGTCATGAGCGAGGCCCATCATTATAGTATAAAGTTTTTGCAAATTCATAACCAAGTTTTGATGCTGATAAAAAATAAAAGACTTAATATTAGTATTAAAATATTCAGAGCAATATTTTTAAAGTGATTAAGCTATTAAAGTACATTTCCTGCATTTCCCTTTAGTAATGTTAATACAATAGGAACATTTTAAGACCTCCAACTGTTGCGACCTGACTCTGAGCTACCAAAAACAAAAATTACAAGCACAGGAGTAAAGACAATATGCATTCAAGATCTTACTTGTTCCTTTACTTACATTTTGTACAGACTGTGTGATGTTAATTCAGAATTCTATTTTTAACTTCCAAAACTCCAAAAAATTTAACTGTTATCAGTACTGCCTTTCTTCTGTGCCAAATTATTCACCTCCTTCTTCTGCAGGGGTGTTTCACAGTGAAACTAAGATGACTAAAAGATTGTTTTGATATGCACACAGACAATCAAAAGCCACATGCTGAACCAACAGAAAACTTTAAAATTATTTTAAGATGTCTTTCTAAGCTGAAACTTGTCTAGATACTTTGCATTCAGTTTAACTACATAGAAGTTCATCTGCTCAGGGCAACAAAGATGTTGAAGGATCTAGAGGGGAAGACTCATACAGAGTGTCCGAGATCTCTTGGTTTGTTCAGCCCATGGAAGACGGGGTTGTGGTGGTCTGCAGCCTCCTTACAAGGAGAGCACAGGGACAGTTCCTGACTGTCTCTTCCCTCTGTAGACCAGCTATCCAGAAAGATCCAGAAAGGTAGATGTGAGAATTACTTGGCACGAGGTGTTAATAACCCAGGAAAGAAAAAACAGCCTGAGAAAAGTCAGAAGGGAATATATACATTATATCCCATGAGACTATGGAATTTTGGGCAAGTGTAGAAATCCAAAATGCAAGATAATTACGCTAGACACAGTGTAGTACTGACTGCAGATTCTTGTCAGTGCTAGTCTGGGAAAAAAATCTGTAGTATATAGAACTGCAGAATGCTCAAGCTTAGTAATTCTTGTTCAACAATATCAATAAAATGCGTGTCAGATGGAAGACTTAGAGAAGAAAGGAATTTGGGGAACATTAGAACCCTATCTTCTTTAGAAGATAATCAGATCACATTCAATGCGTCCTCCTCTATATCTACAGAGTTGGAGACTGACTTAGATGTGGCTAGTTTTTTGCAAGCAGGGTATTCCAAGGTCATTTCTATTAAATTAATATACATAGCATTCCAAATAAATTTAAAATCCATCTCCAAAGTGAGAGAAAGGCATCTTTCTGTCAGGAATAGTAGGTAGACTGATTGGCAGTGTCTATGAAATCATCTGAAGGCTTCACACTTAAAAAAGCACTGACAGGGCATCTTGGGTATTTTGGAAGTAATATATCTTCAGATACACCATTCATCCTATGTGTATATTAGAAAACTCCAAATTATTCTGTGCTCATTCTATTATTTGCATCCCTAGAGGAACACTAAGAGTGGCGCTTTCACTACAAGATGCAGAAATTTCTCTACAGACCTGCAGGTGGTCTGTGATCTTGTTACTTTACTGCTGTTGTAAAATAACTAGAGTTGGAAAAAGATCTGGAAACAAATCTTCTGCTTTTTCCACTCAAACTGAGGCGGAAAATGCTTTTATTACCAGACTAAGTTCTCAGAAATCATTGTACCAAATCTGACTGTGCTACTCATTCCAGTTCCATGGTTTACACTTGACGTATTCAGAAGATTTCCTTCGGTCCCTCTGGGATGAGAATAAAAAAGCATTTTACTTGCTATCAGATTTACATTATGCTCTAAGATTGCACAGAAAAATGAAATTAATGTTTCAGTTTGAATGAAATATTTCAAGTAAGTAATAAAAACAAGAGTATGTGTAATGTAACCAGATAAAATATCACTGGACATGGTACTCAACTGGACGTAATTGAGCCACAAATTATGATGTAAAACAGAAAGATTATCACTGATTGTTGCCAAGAATATTTTCTTACAGGTCTGATGTCAGAATACTGTGTTTCTGTAGGGCTTTTCACCTGCCCTGCCAGAAATGTAATTCTATTCTTGCCTGCTTTGCTTAAAACATCAAAGTGGTTGAGCAAACTTCAGAATCTTCCTGAAGAAGAATCTGTACAGACTAAATAGATCTTCAAAGAAGCAGGGGAAGGACCACTCTCTTCCGCTCTCTCTAAGAGGCTAAGGGCCTTCCTGACATTGAGAAAAGGTAGCCCTGGATAGCTTTTTCTTTTTGAGCAGTCCTTAGCAGGAATTGCTCCATGAGCTGTACATATTACTACTTTGCTGTGTTCAGGTGGACTCTCAGAAACTCCTGGTTATGTTTCTACACAGACTTAGATATCAGTATATTTAAACACATTCCCACGTCTTTGCAGTGGAAGAGTCAGCTGTCAACCAAAAGGTAAACAATCTATTTCCCATACAGTGGGAAACCTGCCTCATTTACACAACTCCCTTTTTGGCCTCTTGTCTGAAAGAGCCCTATCTTTATGTGAAGAAAAAGAGAAGTCCGGAATTGAGGCATTACTGCAGACACAGTCTATCAGCAACGCTTCATCCATTATTTGATCCAAAGAGAAAGAAGAAGGAACCCAAATTACTTGCAGGTGCACAAATACGAAGTCAGAATTGATCAAAAATAGTTTCTATTACAATAAATTGTAACAAATTGCAGAGGAAAGCATTATGGCACAGACAAAAAAGAACCATCACAAGGACTTTATTACACCAATCTAACTCTTATTTTTAAGAAAAGTGTTGTGCCAAGAGTAACGGAAGTGTGGAAGACACTTAGTTGCAGGAAGTTTTAGTTCATTCTAAAAACAGAAAAAACAATTGAGTCTGGCGAGACAATTAGCAGAAAGATGGCAAAACAGAAAACAGAAACCGTAAAGAGAAAAATCACACATATAGAATTACCATAACGTACTTGTCAATATGCACATCCCTCTACTACAGAGCTTGAGATATTTTTTGTTCACCCTACTTCATTCTTCTTGATGTCAGCTACACAGGAACCCCATTACTTATTTAAACCTTACTGCCACTTTTACTTTTCCTAGACCAAGGCTGTGGCAAGAGACTATTGCTTCTTTTAGAATTCATATCCAACTGCATATTTGTCTATATGTTCTTCTTCATGAATATTCTGGATACTAACTTCAAATGGTTTGACTTAACTATTTGCTAAGATATTAGCAATCAGGATTATAAAGCTGAGAAACAAGAAGTCAGAATAGATGCGATTCCCAAAATGGAAACAAATCCTTAACACTCCGTAAATAAACCTCAGTAGACAGTAAAACATTTCCATAGCACTGGGAATAACTTCATGAAATTCATTAAGCATTCACTCTCGTTGAGAATATAAACTCACATACATCATACTTTGAAGGTTCATATTTTACTCCCTACTATTCCTCAGTATCACTATTAACAAATGATGCCTTCACCAGAAAGTTGTAAGATTCAGCAACAACATTAATAACAGTTAGCTAAAACAGGCTAAAAGTTCTCAGGAATTAGGGAGCAAGACTTCAGACATTCTGGAAATAAAAGCTGGAAATTAGTTTGCAGACAGCTGAAAGAAAAGACCAACTTTTCTACTAATTAACATTGCTACTGAACTTCAGGATTTGGATATAGAATTCTGCAATTGTTCCTGGCAAATTAGGTGCAATATTAGTAGAATTCAGTTAACCCTTCCCTTTCATCCCCCTTTTTAAAATTAGATTTCTGACAAGCAGCATTAACACAATCATTTTCTATTCAAAAGGCATAATCTGTAATTTTCCAATATTCTTACAAGCATCATTTTCAATATCTCCTTCCTCTTTTAAATCAACCATTAAAAAAACTAAAACAAACTACTTACCAAAGAATTTCTCAAAGCACCTGTATCTGTATTTACTGTTTCCACTGAATAAGATTTTTCAAAATACTGCATTAGGCATTCAAAAGAGGGAACTGTGTCACTGGAGTTTATCAGCCACGCTGCAATCCTTGGATCCAACACGACGCTCTCTGCAACTACAAAAACCAGTTATTTCTGACAGTTAAAATATTTAAGTCACTTCTTGGGTAGATAAATACTTCTAAAATTTTGTCCGTCTGTCCTGTAGACACACATTATGAATAGACCTAAAATGATAAATACCTTGTAGCAATCACTTTTAAAATCTGCAACATATGAATATATGAATTCACATGAGTACATAAAGCTTTGATCTCAAAAATCACTTCTGTCCTGCAGAACCTTATGTGTTTATGCTGCACTTTCTCTTAGATCCACATAAATACATAGGATTGAACAAACCTAGTGCTGTTTAATGTCATATGCACTGTAGTACCACAAAGAAGAGGGGGGAGAAGCTAATAACTAGAATTCTGAGATATAGCTAAAGATAGATGTAAGCATCCTCTTAAGGAATCTTTAAGCAATTAAGTTCAGACAACAGCCCACAGGTACATGCTTATATAAATTAAACAATTCCCAGCTATACAACCTTCAGACTTGATTAGCTGGAAGACAGTTTAACGTCCATTACATACGTGACAGCTACAAGACCAATCTGATGAGAACCAGGCTTGTTCATCTCCGCTGATTTAACTGCTGCTGAAAAGCACTTTATGTTGCTGCTTACCAGATGGCAGGGAACAAGACCTTTTTTTCCCTGAAACAGCTTGGCCTGTGCTGGAGCAGCTAGATAAATGAAAGATACTTCAGCTGCATGGTTTCATGCGAAGGTTTTACGTAGCTCACCACCCCTTTCTTCAAATACAAAGAAGTTCTTCACCTTGGAAGCTAACAGATGCTAAGGAGCAGCCACAGAAATTGTCTCGAGGACATCCTGCTGAGTGCACTACTAAGAGATTCCTTCTCTTTTTTTTAGGGACTAGCTTGATTTGCAATGATGCAGCTTAAAGAAGTAGACGAAGGCCTGAATTCATTTGGAAAATAAAATTTAGGTATGCCCATAGGACTTTTACTGTTCTTTCAGCAGGAAATATTCTCTACAGTGATTAAATGAAACGTACACAACTGTGCTGAACAGGATTGCCATCAACTTAGATGATGCACTGTGAAGAGGCAGACATAGCAACACAGCCTCACTGAGGGGCAGTAACACTGCAGGCAGCTGATGGTTGTTGGAAAGACACCCAGAGGTTGCAGGAAGGCACTGTCCAATGAGATGCTGGACATCCACAAGTCCGTGTGACAACTGCTTGAAATGTGCACTGATTTTTTTTTTTTTTAAAATAAAATCTGAATTCTACTCAGAACACGTGGAAAAGAGAATCCTGCTACCAAACAGTGTTTGTGAGCTATTAGAGATCCTCCAACTATTTACAATGTGCACAAGAGTCTCCACTCTAATACTGATGAAGAATCAAACATCCCAACCATTTGCTCTTTCTTTCTCAAGTAAGATTTCCACTAAGTCAGCTCAGTTGTAAAGAGTTGTAACCATCAACTCAGTACTTGAAAGGGTATGACATCTGCAGCGTTAGGAGTAAGATATGTAATTAGGACAGAAGCAACCTGAAAGGACTGCAGCAAAACCAGAGTCAGGCTGAGATAAAAACGACCAGAAGAGATGGTGCAGATTAAAGCACAATTATGTGCAGATTGTGAAATGGTAGTCAAGACTCAAGTGCTGTATACCTCCTCCAGAATCACAGTGGCAAAGCACGCTACACTTCACCAGCGTGAATTAACGTAACCATGTATTCCACTGGTTGGCACATGGCAGTTTAAGGAAGTTTCTATGGGGAACATGAAACTCAAGGCAATTTAACCTGCTCAGCTACACACAGGATTGCTTTGAAAGCTTTTTTTTTTTCCACTGGAAATCATCCTTAAACTTCTCAACGTTTCAGCAATTCCTACTCTAAGAAGAAATACATCACCTCAATGTACCAACTCTCTCTCCAGAAACTCCCCAAGAAGGATATTCTTTTCCATTGTACTAGAACTGTTTTCCAGTATTTAACTAACCACTAACCTAATTGCTTCTGCACCTCGCAATTTTAACGCCACAGGCACAGCTCACAGGATTAAGTCATAGATTAGACAGTTACCTTGTTTCCAGCTAATTCCATTACCATAAATTTGAAGTACTGTCTTCAGGAAATCTTTCGCATTGAAGCAGATAACTGGAACTTTGCAACGTAGTATTTGAAACAACACTTGCCTGCACAGAGAAAGTTTCTGAATATGCACTATACTGCTATTAGATTTAGTTAAGTCATTTAATTTAAATTTTTAATTAGCAAGTTGTACTAAACTGAACAGCTAATAAAAGGCATTTATTTTAATAAGAATATAGTATTGTATCTGAATATTGATTTTTCAATTCAATACCTGAATCTCTATTCTATACTTAAACACACTAACAGATGGCTTACCTGCATGCATAAAGAAATCTCAACACTTAGAATTAAACACAATCCAAAAGAGCAACTTGCATGCCTATAATACTTCACTGTGCCTAAATGAGATCACGGAATCTTCTAAAGTTACTAGACAATCTAAATTGCTCTAATTGCCTACTGTTCAAAGGCTGTTTAAAACTACTATACTCTATCTCATTTTTCCATATCTTCCCATTCTTTTTTGAAAGCATCTATAGTTTCTGTATCCACGACATTTGAAATAGAACTATGAATACATTTCATTAATCATGTGTATCATTTTTATTTTATACAGCATAAAAAGGATAATTCCGTATAGGGCTTTCATGTTGATTTATTGTTAACAAAATGAAACCACAGTTCTTGGACAGGTTTAAGATATTTTATTTGAAATTTTCTAGGTCATAAGGTATTTCTGAGTATATTGTAGAATCACTATTAAACAACCTCACCGTTCTTGGAAGATATAAGCATTTAGAAAAAGCCTATAGTTAGAACGCGTAACTTATTCTTGAGTTTTTGTTGTTTTGAAGTACTTTAAATCCTAACACTGAGTTGTTTACAATAAATCAGTTATTACTGAAATTCATAAAGCATTATGAAAAAGTTTTATCATGTGACTATTATAGTGAAAAATCAATCTACTTCCTCCCATAATGGGATACTACTTCAAAGTCAATAAGGAATAAAAATGGATTTTGGTTATGCTAAGTGGAAGTTCAAACTAAAACCCAACTTGAAAAATTTAGCCCAACCATTAAAGAGATGCAAAAAATGCTTTTGTAATTTGTATGTTTCACTGCTACTGGATCACAAGAAAATCTCATTCAATATCTCAAAGTCATCTTAAAAGCCTACTGCTTTCTGTGCTCTGAAATTAAAAATATTACCAGAGGTCAAAAAGGCTATTTATAATAATCATGTTCTAGGATTACTATGTAAGAAATACAGGGAGGAAATGAAGATTAAATACAAAAAGAAAAATCTTGTGAGATTTGAGATTTATGTTTTTTGAGCCATATCTTTGTAGGGCATTCCTACAGCATTTCTAGGTGAATATATTAATACTATAAATTCGTATAATACTTAAAGACTGTGTATTAGTATATTAAATATTATCACAATCCCAGCCTCCTCCTGCAAAGAAATCAAGTCATCAATATCACTGCTGCCAAAAACACACTGCTGCCAAAAAGCAGAATGTTGCTTTATTCTTACATGCTCTTACCGGGCAAATTTGTTGTGAGCCTGTTCTTCTTGCTCCCAAAGGGAAGAGCATTCAGTTTCCAAATAAATGAATTTATCACTCGGACTAGCAGTGCTCCAAGTACTGGCAGTTGAAGAGAAACTGAGAGAGCAAAGGCGATCTGTTCGACTCTTCACTAATACAACAATTCCCTTCACTGACGAGGCTAAGGTGGTCTGTTAAGCATAATTACAGTGTTTCCTCTGAGATCTTTTATGCAATGCCAAAAAAATTTCCCAAGTATTTTGCAATATGAAAACTACAAGGTACAATAGTTACTGTATACACCATCGACATAATAAAGAAGGTTGCAAATGCTTCACCCTTAAAAAAAAAACAAAAAACAAAAAAAAAAAACCAACAAACTACTGTGACAGTCAAGGTAGGAAGAAGAAAAAAATATTTAAAGACTTGCTTGATGTATGCTAATGAGTGCTTGGCCCAAGAGGTTCCAGTTTCTTTAGATTTTATTTGGTAACTAAGAATAAAAGGCAGCCAGAAGTATGAAGATTTATCTCATTATAAATTAGTATTTTGGTAAGCAAGAATATTTTAAACTGCTCCAGATTCCACCTTCCCAATGAACATGGCTTTATATTAACCAGCCACATGCACAGTTCAAATAATTCAGCAAAACAGTCACCAAAAACCCACAGTTCACTAACCTGCTCTGAGTTAAGCTGTGAAGAGCCATCTAGAAATATCATGGTAGTTACAAAAGCCACTGCTTCTTTTATATTTGCAATCAATTCTCTTTTTTCTTCATATCCTAAACTCCTGATATCACAAAAATCATTTTCAGAATGCTCTGCTTGTCTGGAAGTCCAGTTGTATCTCCTCTCATGTGAAATGTGTTTCTTAACAAGTAATCTTTTTTTTCCCAAACAATACGTAGGTACCTCTTGCTTTCTTTTAAGGGGGGTAACTAAATTCTTTTCACCATCTGCCATGTTTCTTTCTTCTACTGTAAGGTTTCTTTCTCTATATCCCCATTCAGTAGAGCCTAATTCCCAGTAGAAGCTCAGGATTTCTTTGGTATGTGCCATCCTGACTGTCTCACCAGCAGTACTTTTTTCAGAGCTGGCAGATGATTTTAATAAGGCAACTGTGGAATCACTGATCTCCTGGAAAAATCAGAAAATATTCAGTGAACCAATTGTTCAACTTATTAGGAGACACAAAAATAAACATACATGAGTTCATTTAGCTTAGCTTTTCAGGATGTGATGCTCTACAGAAAAAAGTGTTAGTGGTAACATCAAAGAAGAGCCGATTTAAGGAAACTATAGGCCCAAAGAGCATATATATATATATATATATATGAATGTATAAGAACTGTAGACAGACAGCTAACGCACTAAAAGTGTATTCTCCAGTCAAACTGCAACAAGTTTTTACTGTTTAACACATAGCAGAATTTGAATTAGGACACTGAAGTAATTATAGAATCAGCAGTAAGTAATTATCTTTTAAAACTTCAAAAATAGGAACAAAACAAATTTAATTATCAAGTCAGAATAATAGAGGTGAACAATGATTAACCACAAAGCAGCAGCAGCAGCTTCTGGGAAGAACCAATCATCTACTAGAAATAATGACATAGCTGGAAGTAAATAACAGGCTTTCAAAGTCAGAAGATGTAGTTCCATAATTTATGTAGAATAATCTTGCTAAATGTGGTGAGTCAAAGTTTATCTCCTCAACATTACAGGATGGGTTTCCACTACTATTTACATTCATCTATGGCTTAAATCATTCTCATCAAGCCCATCTAAGAGCCAATTAAATTTGCAGTAAGCTACCCCATGCCAAAACTCCTAGATGGACTTGCAGTAAGTGCAATAATCACCAGAGTTGAGTAAGGAAGGCTGTAGGATTTGCAGCTGGGGTAGGGCTTCAGTTTTAATACCTGCAAATCATTTGACTAACTCAATAGACCTCAACCTCAGCCCAAGTTGCTACTGTTCCAGTTAGCCATTTCCATTCTTGGATTAGCACCTAGAATCAGAGTTGGAAGGGACTTCTAAAGGCCATCTAGTCCCACTCCCCTGCAATGAACAGGGACATCCACAGCTACATCAGGTTGCTCAGAGCTTGGTGCAGCCTGGCCCTGAAAGTCTCCAGGGATCGGGCATCTCTGGGCTACCTGTGCGAGGGTCTCACCACCCTCACTGTAAAAGATTTCTTCCTTATGCGTACCTGCACACACATTAAATAAATTCAGAGAGATGATTCAACAGAAAAATTAAGCTTCCCAATTTACAGACATTTTTCTTGTGAACCAGCTCACTTTGATTGTGAAACACCTAGTAGCAGCCTATGGGAGCACCAGAGATGGACACTAAAATAATATTTTAATTTTCAGCCACACAGCTGCTCTAAGGACATTCAGTAGACAGAATGATGCATTAATTTAGAACAGCTTATGGAGAGGATTTAATATCTAATGGTTCTGTTCTAGACCACGTGGGAACTATATGAGCTAGTTATGAATGAGAGGGTAATTTAGAAAACATAAGCCACTTCATTGCTGCTACAAAAAGCTTTTTCCAGTATTTTGCAAGGTATTTTCACATGCTAGCGATTATTCAGTCATAGAGGTTTGAGAACATTTTAAAATTACATTAGCTACCCAAATTTGGCAACATTCTACATTTATTTCTGGTCAATCTGTCAGAGAAGACTTTATAACCAGAGCAAGAGGGGGCCAAGACTCTCTACGGCAAATAGATAGCAAGTGCAAAATAAGATTAAAGTTATCTAAACCACAATGTATGCAATGTACTGCAACACAGTTTGTTATGGAAGAACTAGTCAATAACAACTTCAAGTCTACTATAAAACAGTTGCTTTTTTTAGTGCTATTTTACAACGTGCTTGCCTTTTCATTTTTCAGACCTGCATCCTTATCACCTAGTTTATCTTCCTTTGTCTTCTCTTTACCTTAAAAAAAAAAAAAAAAAAAGAAAATATTTTATAGCACAAATGAATCTGACCAGAGCATATAATTTGGTTTATAGAGTGCTAGATTACCAACCCTGTTACTAAAGTTAAAATAACTGCTATTAAGTTTTCTGTGGAAGATGTTTTCCTCAGACCGACACAATTCATGTTTAAAATGACCTGAATGCATTCTGAAACATGCATACACAAAAGTATGCTCCATCTCCCTTAAAAAAAATAATTTGACTTTGCTACAAAGAAGAAAACATTTTCTAGGGAACTCAGAAGGCACTTTACTGTAATATTGTAAGCATACACACTGCCATCCTTCAAAACACATTCAATTTTTGTCAAAGCAAAGCTATACAATAAAAACAACAAAAAAAGACACTATATATCACAGTTTACACAAAATCACAGGAGCTGAAAGGGACCTCCAAGAAATCATCAAGTCCAAAACCCTGCTAAAGCATGTTGCAGAGGTAGACATCCAGATCTTGAACATCTCCAGAGAAGGAGACTCCACAGCCTCTCTGGACAGCATGTTCAAATGCTCTGTCACTCACAGTGAAGAAGTTTCTTCCTCGTATCTGTATGGAACTTCCTGTGTTACAGCGTTTGCCTGTTGCCCCTTATCCTGACACTGAACACCTGTGAAGAGCCCAGCCCCATCCATTCAACTTCCACACTCCAGATAATCACAAACAACGATATTTATAGTTTAACATGTTGTTAGGTAGTACTATTCTCAGAAATACTCTTCAATAAAATATTTTCTTTGCATTTGGCCTAGAAAAAAAAAAATTGACCACACTCCATTGAGAAGTTACTTCTTACCACATTGCTCACCCTTGCAAGAGAATGGGTATTTTAAGACAAGAAGAGAGAGCATGGAAAACTCAGACTGATCAAACTGACACAAAGGTGAGTCATGACCAGCATAACAGCACAGAGTAGGATGGCTCTCAGTGCTGGGTTTAAGACAGAACCCCAGCCCATAGCATAGTTGCTAACCTGAGCACCTCTGAACTACCAGTGATATTTTAGCCTAGAGTTCTTCTGAAAGTTTAAGGAAGGCTTTGTAACGTCAGGACTTTGCACAGCATGAATGAGAAAGTTAAGATGTGCCTTCTCCTTTCCTTCCCTCAACACCACCCTGGAGCCCAACAAGAGAAGTAAAAGAAGGCTGGAATAAAAGAACGAAGGGCAATAGGCAAGCAGCTCTTAAAATTCCAGTGAGCACAGTAAAAGAACTTCTGTGAAATATGCGCTTCTGCAGTCTGTAATTAGAACTCTTACCTCTAGATCCTTCTACTGCCTAGCAATTCAAAAAGAAACCAAAAAACACGCATGAGCAAAACACATATTCCTTTCTAACTGCTGGTCCAGAAATCCTGCTGATTTCTGCTACAAAACTTGCATTACCAGCAGCAAGAAATTCTGAACCTAACATACTGCTTTCACTGAAACTGTTTGATTATAATAACGTTTTGACTAGGTAAACCAGGATCCTGTATTTAAAAGACTAAAAAAGCATTTTAAAAGACAACTACTTTCCCCAGAAGAAACTAAACACATTATTTTATAATATTATACGCATCTCACACTGTATAATTTGTTATTTATCTCCAGTTAAGATACCTAACTGGTGGGATGCATCAAGAAAACCGAACCTAAAATTCACTCTTCCACAATAATAAGATTATAATTTACAATGATAGTAACATGATTTTGCATTCAGTGCTCTTAACTGCTTAAAGTATCTAGATATTTTTTCTTAAAAAGTTCATCCTCCTGAGAAAATAAGGTTTATTTTCCCTCCTTCAGCACACAGTATTGAGTAAGACATACACAAGCGGCTACACAACTTTTCAGTTCCTGCCTTATGTTAGGAAGTATCACCAGATGGCAGTAGAAAGCCATCCTAGCCTTCAAACTTGGCAAAAGCTGGAGTCTAAAAGTGCTGACACACCATTAACATTATCTACCTCGCTCTACCTCTGGAATTTACATTCACTTTTTCCCCTAGAATTGCACAGAGTGAGCTGGTAATGAGCATGTTTGGGAAGAAAAGACTGTGAGCCTGGAGAGTTCACAGGGCTTCTCCTAATTTTTCAGCATCTGTACTGCAAGTATCTAGTAGAGTTTCAAGCTGATGCACATTTACAGTGTTAATTAACGCTAAGAAATTAACATCTATATTACTACAGGTTAGGAAGGAAAAAAACACAGTAAAATTCAGGCTAACAGCAACCTCCCAGTTTCTTGCGCTCACACAGTGATATTTAACCAGGAAAGACACATCAAATACTACAGTTATTTCTTAATTCCTGAGGTTCAGTGTTGTGTGCTTGCATTTCAGTTTTTCAGCTGAAAAGAGAGACGCTTAAGAAGGCCAATACTCACACTGATTATTTTTTCTGCTAGTCTGAACTCCTGTAGGAATAGACCGCAAAGCTGACATAATCCTCTGAGCAGTATCAGATAAAGGCACCTCAGAAATCCCACATCCTATGTATGATGTGTAATGCTCCATTTTTATGATTAAGCCTAAACACAGAATACACATATGAATTATGCATTGTATCAGTCAGAAACCAGTCTGCACTTTAATTCTGTTTAAGTTAAAGACAAAATACAATAACTGTGTTCAGCCATCCATTTGCCTTAATAGATTTTCTCCCTGACATGCCTAAAGTATTCTGAAGTACTGCAAATAAAAGTTAGCAATTACAAAACCTACAAAGTGAAACATCTTGAAATACAAAGTTTTAGTACACTGATAAAAATTATCACAGAATGGCCAGGGTTGGAATGGGCCTCAAGGATCATGAATCTCCAACCCCCCTGCCACATGCAGGGCCACCAGCCTCCACATTTGATACTAGACGAGGCTGCCCAGGGCCCCATCCAACCTGGCCTTGAACACCTCCAGGGATGGGGCATCCACAGCCTCTCTGGGCAGCCTCATCAGGTTCCAGAGGTTCCAGTATCTCACCATTCTTCTCTGTAAAGAATTCCCTCTGACATCCAACCCATATCTTCCTTCCCTCAACTTAAAACCATTTCCCCTTGTCCTTCTAAAAATTATTCAGTCTTAAGTACAGCTAACTTCTAATAAGACTGACAAACAATTACTCTGTTATTACTGTTGAAAATACTCCCCCCCAATACATTCAATCTAGCCTATATCTAACATATGCACAACTTTACCTATATCTATCATATGTACAACTTTACTGTTGTTAGTCCTCAAGTTTTAATTCATGGATATTCTTCTTGATCTAACTGTCAAAACAGCACCAACTTGTGATGAAAGAAGAGTTACTATCATAGAATCATAGAATCATAGAATCACCAAGGTTGGAAAAGACCTAAAAGATCACCCAGTCCAACCGTTCACCTATTCCCAATAGCTCCTACTAAACCATGTCCCTCAATACAACATCCAGTCTTTCCTTGAACACCCCCAGGGTCGGTGACTCCACCACCTCCCTGGGCAGTCCGTTCCAGTGCCTGACCACCCTTTCCGAAAAGTAATACTTCCTAATGTCCAGCCTGAATCTCCCCTGCCGTAGCTTGAAGCCATGCACAAAGATCAGTGATACAGTTTTAGAAAACATGCATACAAAAAACCTTCTATTTCATAAGTTCATAAGTTCATAAGTTCTGTATAATTTACATAGTCAAGTATTAACATGACTACATTGGTCAGTGTAAAGTCAGCCATGTCTAAAGCCTGTACAAGGTTTAAGCACAGCTACTGATGTTCTCAATTTTACCCTTTCTTTCCTCCCCTCTCCAAAAGCAGCTGCTTTTCCACTTGTAGAGTATGGCTACAAGACAATACATACAAAATACTTGGAGCCACTAGATAAAAAAGCATTTGGGAGAACTAGAGACAAGGCACCCATACTGACAGATGGCTTGACTTCACATAGCTAGATCAGTACAAAGCACAGAACTTACCACAAACACTAGGTATGCACGCAACATTTCCAAAGGACTCAAGATAGTACATTCTCCACCAAGAACTGCTGTTAAGTAATTTCATTCCTATACAAATATGTTATTCTGATCTTCTTTTACTAAGTTCTGTGTATAAATAGCCTTTCAGGTCAAGTCTGACTATCAACAATACACCCTTTTCTTTACACAGAAATATTTTTCTTAGTTCAAGATCACAAGCAGATTGCTTACAGTCTAACTTGTACAAGAAATTACTTACAAACACAAAAAACTATCAAAGAGGAATAGTCATCAAGCCACATTAAGTTTTGCCTAGTAGCTATCTAGCTCCAAAGAGGTAATCCTGTCTCAGTTTGTGTATGCAATAATCTAAAGCTTTCATAATAGCTTGAATTGTAGATGTAGAAGACAAAGAGCATCTCTAAACTTGTTTGTGAGAAAGAAAAATGAAAACACCACATGACCAACCTCCAGCACAGCGCTCAAGAACCTTAAGCAGAGTAAAACAGTGAGGGATTTTTGAAGTCACAGGATACTTCTGGTCATAACCCTTGCAAATTATGTACTGCCACACTGCATGATGCAAAGCCATAAAAGAAAAATCTAACTGACTTTCATGGAATCTAACAAAAGATACCAGAAAAAAAAAAAATCACTATTTTGTCAAACAAAATAATGCACTATACAGTGAAAGCTGGTTTGCAAGTTGATACTAAGCAAGAAGATAGCAGTAAGATTTTCCTTTTCCAGACATTCCACAAGCCAGGAACACAGTCTTCTCCTAACTTTTAAAATTGCTTTTTTAAAAATTGTTTTTTATTATTTCTATCATTGTTTTCTTACAGGATAAAAATATTTCCTAACTTCCCATAGAGGGAAGCAGTAGTCTTCAGATTCAAACTCTGGAGCCTATCAAAATGAGAACCCAGAAGATTAAAAATAAACAAGACACCATTCATGAACATATACTAACATACAGATATGCCACAAATATTGACAGCATTGAACTAAATTTAATGACAAACAACATATGGATCTAAACAGCATGAAAACTAGGCATAAAGACATCAAACCAATAAGCTAAAAATTATACATTTAAGAATAAGTTACATAAATGTAGACATTAAAAGCTTGAAGCCAAAATATTTTTTGAAATACTACTACTGAAGTTGAAGCTAATTTACTAGCCTTCATCAATATGTGCAACACTTGAAAGTAAGTACAGCTGATCAGAAAACAAGAGCCTGGAGTATTTTTATACTACAAAATCATATTTAGTGCCATTGGTCTAAAAGGAAGCCTATACAAAAATTTGATAAGCAGTCTTAATACCAGTCTATGCAGGAGTATGAAGACATCATTCAAATGCCTGGCAACACAAATCAGAGAGTAAATACTGTGTAAAGATATCCCCAAAATGTTCAAGTCTAAAAGGTGAAAGCTCTCTCTTTGAGAAGTTTGCTATAAGTGGGGACTAATTTCTACAGAGAAGGCATAAATGAAGTGATGACATGGTGGTCAAACAGCCAACAGATTCTGGTACATATTTATGTACATTTCTATATAATGAAAATAAATCTTAGAGAACTAAGTGAAGCAGAATCGTATCATTTCTGCCTTGGAGAACTTTCCTCTATGGAAGGAAGCACATTACCATTTATGTTCCAAAATCTGGAATCCCTCTTTACTTCATGTACTGGAAGTTTCTTACCATGCAAGAAAACCAATCCCAAGGGTTTGAAGCTTTCTTTTGCTCTATGCTGCACAAGGTGGAAATCAACATGCAGCCCAGCAAAAGAGCGACGTGTATGCAATTCATTCAAGCAACCAATATGTTCATTAATACTGAAGAACTTGAACCGAATGACCAAATGCCAAAGCCATGAAGCAGCATATAACCCAAACATGGTAACTGTGGCAGCTAAACACACACTGCAATGACAGATAAACCTTCACCTTGATAAGCTAATGCTTATCATTCCATAAACTTGTAGACAGTTTACATTAACATGGTTTTTTATCTTCAGAATACACTGAAGGTTAAGTATTAAGGAATTCACTGGTGGTGAAATTCTCATGTTCCAGAGCACTGGCTTTAGCCTCTGACTGCTGTTCAAGCTTCTCCACCATCTCTTTCAAGTGGTTCTCATCTTTGAAATAATACACATACAAGTTTCTTTCCATCTGATGCAGCTTATTGGACGCTAAGAAGTTTCTCTTTGACTTCACATCAGCAGTAAGATCCATAATTAGTTGATTTAGTTTATTTAAATCACCTTCCAGTTGATGAAACTGCTCAGTAAGTTCCTAACAAAAGATACACAACACAAAAATGTTATTTTTGTATCATTAATACACCAAAAGACTTTCATATTTTAGTTCAATTGCTTTTGGAAGCCTTTTTAAAAAAAAAAAAGTGAAAAATCATTAAAAACAATATTGTATGATAAATCCTGTATATGTAGCTGTGGATCTGCATGTATCTGCATCAGGTTATGAAAATGTAATTTAATTTCCTTCCTTACTAAAACAGATGAATTAAGACTGTAAGAACCTGTCCTCCAACTATATAGATGGTTGAACAACACTGCCTATCAAGTCTTCATTACTAGTCAAAAGGGAAAAAAATCAAACAGAAAAGCAACTTAATTTTAATATGAGATAACTGCAAAATACAGTTCTCCTAATTGTCATTCTTATGATAGTTCAGGGTAGGCAGGTTAGTTACCTACTAGCACATTATTTCCCTATAAGAACTATTTTTCCTGATGCCAACAGAAAAATGTGTCACTGTTTTAAGTCACTTGGAGCAATAAAGAGTACACTATGGAGGCAAAAACCTTTAATCCCTAAGAAGGCATTGTTCTAATTACAAAGAATAACTTATTTGTAAGACTGTTCTGTATGTTGTGAATAGAGTCAAATATTATTAATTATATATTATTCATGCATTTTCTAATGCATGTAAGTAAGGATTGTGGAACAAGTGAAGGCTTCTGTTGCATTTTTCAGATATCTATAGTTGCTTACTATAACAAAATTGCATTTAACCTTATTCCCCTTCCAAAGCAGCTGCAAAAGCCATCCAGGAGCTCTGTCATAGAATTGTCCTAGAAAAATATCCTTCAAAAATCCCAAAATTCTTACTTCCTACATATGAGCCAATACAGCCAGACCATCTTAAGGGGCCAGACCATTATATTCAGGTGAATATTTGTATGAATTTTCCTGTGACACCATAGCCAGAAGACATTTTCCACACCATAAATCTATACATGACTGTAACTGCCTTTGAAAGAAATAAGTGTTAGATGCCACCATTGCTTCAAAACCAATAAATTATTCCCTGCCAACCTATGCAAAATCCCACACTTGCTAAGAACAACACCACCACCCGCCCATCATCATTACACTACTAAGTTTGTTGATGACATGTTGTGGCCATTTTATGCCTACAGCCCTTATACCTGTCTCAGTAAAAGAGCACAACAGGCATGGATACAATCATTTAATGACGACATGAGGACATACCCGACTGGTGAGTAGTATCTGATTTCCTCCACAGTACAGAGCATCACGAAGAGCATTTACATCACTGTCCAGTTTGGACAACAAGAGAGACTGCTCCTGAGAAGACACTGCTAGCTGCTCTTCTGCTGTCACACAATCCTGATTTAATTTCTGAGCCATCTGTTCCAGGTTTTTGTATGTTTTAAACAGTTGTTTTTTGTTTTCTCCTTCCAAAAGCTGGTAGAGCCTGGAACAAATGAAGTTAGACACAAGCATTTTTGAGTTACTTAAGCATTCCTGGCATTATGAGTCAAGAGAAGATCTTCATGTTGAGAAGTTCAAGAAATATGTAGATATGGTATTACAGAATATGGTCTAATGGGCAATACTGGTGGGAGGTGGATGGCTGGATTAGATGATCTTAGAGGCCTTTTCCAACCTTAATAATTCCATGATTCTAAATTAGACCGAGGACCAGCAAAGTACATAAGTTGTAAGAGTACTGCTGATATAATGCTGTATCTGCCACTGATATGTACATAGGTCATGAGTGATCCACAGGACTCCGAAATATTCCAAATGGCAAGCAACAGCAGTGAAATATGTTCTTATTAACTGTGACTTTAATAACAATGCCAACTCATTCAAGAGGATGACAACACACTCTTTTGCAAACTATTTCCTACACTTCAAGGACAGCAGTGCTGAGAAAATGCCAGAACTCCATGGCCAGTGAGAAATTAAAAAATCTTTGAAATTTTACAGCTTACTGCTTTCTATCTATGGAAAGACCACTAAGGAATTCTACACTGGGTTATGAATCATGCAAAAGACAGCAATATTTCGCTA